ACAAAGAAAATAATCCAGTCAAAAAATGGGCAGAAGAGCTAAAAAGAAACTTCTCTGAAGAGGAAATGCAAATGGCCAACAGGCATATGAAAAAATGTTCACAACATCACTTGTAATCAGGGAAATGCAAATCAAAACTACCATGAGATACCATCTTACACCAGTGAGAATGGCACATATTAAAAAAACTAGCAACAACAAATGTTGGCGAGGATGTGGAGAAAAAGGAACTCTCCTGCACTGTTGGTGGGAGTGCAAACTGGTCCAACCACTATGGAGAGCTGTGTGGAGATTTCTGGACCTACTAAACATAGAGCTTCCATATGATCCAGCAATTCCACTCCTAGGTATTTACCCAAAGGACACAGAAACATCAATTCCAAAGAACACCTGCACCCCTATGTTTATAGCAGCACTATTTACAATAGCTAAGCTTTGGAAACAGCCCAAATGCCCAAAAATAGATGACTGGATCAAGAAGATGTGGTACATATATACCATGGAATATTACTCGGCATTCAAAAAAGATAAACACATGCAATTTGCAGCAACATGGATGGCGCTGGAAGGGATCATGCTCAGCGAAATAAGCCAGAAAGAAAAAGAAAAATACCGGATGGTCTCACTCATAGCAGGAATCTAGAAAACTTAAATAAGGGACCAGGAAAATGAATAACTATAAGAAAGTGAAAATCAAAATCAACAAAAATCTATGAACCAGAGACACTTTTGGGGGGATGGGTGGAGGGAGGGGAGGGATTGGGGTCAAAATGGGGGGGTTGAAATTGTATGGGGAATATAAAAATAAAATTTATTATAAAAAAAGTAGGATGATAAAAGAAGCAATAATATCTCAATTTTATTGATATTGCTAAAAAAAAAAAAAAGAAATGCCTATTTACCGTGTTCTTTCTATTTTTTGATGGGGTTATATGTTTTCGTTCTGTTAAGATGTATATGTTCTTTGTGGGTCTTGGATATTAGCTCCTTGTCATATGTATGATGTATGTATACCTTCTTGCATTGAGTAGGGGTATCTTTTGCTTTAATGATAATTTCATTTGCTGAGCCGTAGTTTTTAGTTTGATGTAGTTCCATTTGTTTATTTTTGTTTTTGTTTCCCTTATCATTATAGTTGATACCCCAGAGACATCCCTGAAACCAAGGTCTTTTAAGTATTTTGCTTATGTTTTCTTCTATGTATTTTATGCTTTCAAGTCTTACATCCATGTCTTTAATGCATTTTGAGTTAATGATGTGAGATAGTGGTCTGGTTTCATTCCTTTGTTTACACCTCTCAGTTTTCCAGTACCATTTGTATAATCTTGCTTGCTTTGTCTAAGTGTGGATTTATTTCTGTACCCTCAACTCTATTCTACTGGCCTGTGTGTCTATCTTTGTTTCAGTACCATGGTGTTTATTTATTTTATTTCTTTTATTTCGGTGGGACCATCGCCAGCTGATGGGGAACGAACCGGCGCTACAGAGGCTGCAGGCAGCCTCGCAGCCCAGCGCTCAACCACTGCGCCACCAGGGGAGGCCCTCCAGTACCGTGGTGTTTTGATAACAATATTCCAGTACCATGGTGTTTTGATAACAATAGCTTTGTAGAATAGTTTTGAATCTGGGAATATGATGCCACTGTTCTTTTTTGTTATTGTTAGGATTGCTTTGGCTATTTGAGGACTTTTTGTTTTTTTTTAAATAACAACTTTTTTTTAAAAAGATTTATTTATTTATTTATTTATACAAGCACTGGGTACAGTCAGAAGCGCAGGGAGGGTGAGAGAATTCACCAGAGCCAGAGCAGGGAACAGAACAGGCAGAAGGATCGAAGTACACTGCTGAGGGGAGCAGCGGGTGGCAGGAGAGGTCTGCATGCCATGTGGGACCCTCCTCCGGTGGCCAGGGAGCAGCCGGGGATCGAACCAGCACTGCAGAGGCTGCAGGCAGCTTCGCAACCCAGCGCTCAACCGCTTCGCCACCGGGGAGTTCCTATTTGAGGACTTTTGTGTTTTCCATACATATCAGTAGTTTTTCATCTATTTCTTTGAAGAATGCCATTGAAACTTTAATAGGGGATGAATTGAATTTGTATATTGCTTTGGATAAGATGGTCATTTAACAATATCAGTTGTTTCAGTTCTTGAATAGGGAACATCTTTCTATTTGTGTCTTCTGGTTTTTTGTTTTTATGTTTTATACAATGTCTTACAGTTTTCATGGTACAGATCTTTCACCTTCTTTGTTAAGGTTGTTTTGAGATACTTTATTCTTTTAGATTCAATTGTAAATAGATTATTTTCTTGATTTCTTTCTTCTAGTTCATTACTAGCATACAGAAACACAGCTGATATTTGCATATTGATTTTGTATTCTGCTACTTTCCTATACTGATATATTGTTTCTAATAGTTTTTTTTATAGTGGAATTTTTAAGGTTTTCTATGTCTATTAGCAGTTCATCTGAAAGTAGTGATTCTTCTTTTCCAATTTGGATTCCTTTTATGCCTTTTCTTGCTTAATTTGATGGCTCACCCTGGAACTTCCAATACTATGTTGAATAGTAGTGTTGAAAGTGGACATTCTTTTTTTTTTCTTTTTTCTTTTTTTTCTTTTTTTTTAAACAGGTTAATTAGAAAAAGGAGAAAGAGGGCCTCCCCAGTGGCGCAGCGGTTGAGCGCTGGGTTGCGAAGCTGCCTGCAGCCTCTGCAGCACCAGTTCGATCCCCGGCTGCTCTCCGGCCACTGGCGGAGGGTCCCACATGGTGCGCAGACCTCTCCTGCCGCCCGCTGCTCCCCCTCAGCAGTGTACTTCGTACCTTCTACCTGCTCTGCTCCCTGCTCTGGCTCTGGTGAATTCTTTCACCCTCCTGCGCTTCTGACTGTACCCAGTGCTTGTATAAATTTAAATAAAGAAAGAAAGAAAGAAAGAAAGAAAGAAAGCACAAATGTTTAAAAAAAAAAAAAAAAAAAGAAAAAGGAGAAAGAAAAAGAAAGGCATCTGCATAGTCATAGGTGGTCAGGATTGCTGCCTAAAGTAGACATTCTTTTTTTTTTTTTTAAAGATTTATTTATTTTTATACAAGAGCTGGGGTACAGGCCAGAGGCATGGGAGGGTGAGAGGATTCACCAGAGACAGAGCAGGGAACAGAACAGACAGATGACAGAAATTCACTGCTGAGGGGAGCAGCGGGCACGACAGGAAAGGTCTGCAGCACTATGTGGGATTCTCGCTGGCCAGCTGGGATGGTACCCGCACTGCAGAGGCTGCGGACAGCGTCACAGCGTGGGGCTCAATCCACTGCGCCACCGGGAGGCCCCTAAAGTAGACATTCTTGTCTTGGACCCAGTCTTAGAGGAAAAGCTTTCAGTTTCTCACTGTTGTGTATGAAGCTAGCTGTTTTTCATGTATGAAAAGGCTACATATGGCCTTTATTACATTCAAGTGTGGGACAGGAGTTCTTAAAAATGTCTGTTAAGAATTTCCTTCTAAGATGCTATCTCTAGTTATTTTTATGTGGATGTTAAAGCCACAAATGTCATTTTAATAAATTTACTCACCAAGATAATTGGTTCAAACCCCAGTCTAAATAGCCATCTCATTTTCTTTGAAGATTGTTCTTAATTTTATTAATGGTGGAAAAGTAAACCAGTCCATTCCAGAGAAGTTAGTATTTTTGAGATTACATGAGTAACCTATTAGTGGCCACTGTAGTAAACTGTGTCCTTCCTTTTTTAGATACAAAATGTGGCACATTGTCAAAATGTGCTTTTGCTTTGGTGTGTGTATACTCTACTCTGTTTTGCAGCCTTTGTTCCTGAGAGAGTAGATATTAGCATTATTACCCACATGTATTTAGGTTCTGTGCTACTCAAAGTCGGTCAAGATCATGTTTGTAATTTTTTAAAATTAACATTACAATTTTACATTGTTTTCAAATATAAAACTTAGAGAATTTAGTTTATGATAGGCTAGTTATTCAGAATATATATAGGCTATTCATTTCAAATTCAGCCTTCTTTTTCATTTAGAAGCAAATCATCTTTTGTTTCTTATTTGGTGCTTAATGAGTGGAATATAAAGATGTATCAGTTCCTAATCAGCCCCCTATCAACCCATCAGAAAAATACAAAATGGGTGAAAAGTTTTGCAAGTCAGCTATTCAATGGAAGAGTTCTTTTCAAGTAACTACACTCTCTACTGCTCTCATGTAAATTGTTTTAGTATTCCTAAAGAGAACATACTGTGTTAAATGCATTAAATAGATAATCAGCCAGATACTTCAGTGGATGCCTGCTACATAGAGAGTTAGGGAAAGTAAGGTGTGGAAATAATCCCTGTCCTAAGTGTATATATATATATATATATAGTGGGGTAGACACATCATTTTCATATTATTAATTAACAATGATACTAGAAGGAAGAAATGGAGAATGAATTCACAGAAAAATGATATAGGAACAAAGTTTTCCGAGCCCAAAGGAGAAGGAACAAAATCCTGTGTACTAGGAAACTTCATGAAGGAGGAAAGGCATCAAATTCAAGGGACGTGACTAGACCAAATGCAACTCTTGTTGGAAACCAAAATGAGCAAAGGCATTGAAAGCCATAAGGATTAATGTTGGCCTCTTGGATTAGACTGGAAATTTGGTAAGCAGACACTAATAGGGATATCTGGATAGGTGATTTGAGACTGGATATGAAGTCTTTGCAGATATATCACAAAGAAAAATATGCACTGTATTTTCTAGTATGCATTTATTTTAAAATCCAAACAAATTTTTATGATGCTTTTCCTCATGCATGTCCAAGCAATGTTGTTATGGAGTGTGGGGTTATTTCCCCAGTTGTAAAATGCTCATGCTTTTGGGATTTTGGAAAAAGCACAGTTTGCTGATAATCATGCATGTGGCTATAGTTTTAGAATTAGTGTGCCTGGGCAGTGCCTACTGGTATATTATCTATTGCTTTTAATACTTATTTTGTTTTTCCCCACAGGTGCTTGTGTCTATCAGGGTTCCTTGTTGGCGGTAGGTCATTCTTAATATATTTGACTTATTCTTTTGAATGCACAATGCTTGATTGAGGTTATTGAGTGAGTGAGGAGTGAGGTGACCCTATCATTGTAAAATGTGTTTATTTTGCTTCACAGTTTGAGGATTATCCCTCATCTCCTGGCACAATCATGCTCAATTACTTAATACCTTTTCTAGAGTGAATTAGTTCCATTTGGATACTCAGGTACTGGAAAAGAAGTTCAAACACTCAACATATAATTTGCATTCCGTGGCTGTCCTTTGTGTTTTTTCAATCAGAGAGAAAATTAGATCCCATTTTCTTGTCAGATATGAACGAGGGCACAATTTGTTTATCATCCTGTTGCATTTGTCTCTTCCTTTGAAACTCTCTCAAAAAAAGTACAATTATTAAATTGAATACAATCTGGAGGATTCCTGTCGATTGCTTTGCATTATACATTTGAATTTTGGTAAACAACAAACAAATTAACATTTTATCTCTGAAGCTTTACCATATAGGATAGAACTGATTTTGAATGTGATGTCAAGATGACTTGGGGGAAAGCTGATTCAAGTTTCGTGCATTTTTTTTTTCATTAATAATGTACTATGGTGCATAACAGTGTGTTAAAGCCTTATTGGAAAGACTGTCTACACTCCATCAACTCTAATAAATGGTGTGACAAGTCATTCTTCACCACATTTTTATTTTGGTTTAATAAATGCTGTAATAAAAACAGAACTGAGATGGCCAAAAAGACTTTTGCTCATTTACATTGCAACTTGCTATTGACATGTGTGATATTAATAAGTCATCTCGGATTACCCTTGTGGTGTTGAAATAGATGAGAAATATCTGAAATATCCAAGAGTCTAGATAATTGTAGCTATTCAGAGTAATGTTTTTTGAATCTAAACTTTATGTAATATAGTTACTGTTCTGGAGATTTATGATTTTTTTCTCCTGTGTATATTTCTATTATAGATTCAGGAGAAAACCATTTGCTCTCTATTTCTCATTCAATATCCTTAAATGCATAATTTTTCTTCTGTTTATTCTTCAATATGTTTTTGGAATCATTTTAAAATCAAAGTGCTATAAAGTACATCATCTGTTTTGGGGGACTATCGCAGATAATATAGGCAAGTCAGTTATCCATGTAAATACAAAGAGAATTGCTTATTGTATAGAATGATTCCTAATTTTTCAATATATTTTCATAGCTATTTATCGATCAGATATTTAAAATAGACTAATGAAGAGATCACATATTATTTCATACCTTCCCCCTTTTAATAAAGAGCCAAGTATGAGAGAGAGAAATTGAGATATTTGCTAAAGACAATTGGCCATTTGGGGTGGATCAAACAAAACAAGCTGCCTTCTTTCTGTTGTGCTGCCTGGATCTGTAGAAAAGTGGCTAGATTGTCTTTCATATTTGACAAAAATGCTCTTTATGATTGTACCTTGGGATATGAAATGTTCAGGTACGTGGAGAGGTCAGTTTGATCAAGTGAAAGGAAAGAATGTCCAGTCAATTTCCTTTTAACAGATGATCTTGTTCCCCTTGGTCCTATGTCCTGGCCAATCCCAGGCTCATGGACTCTCAAGGCTGCCGAATTGTATTCCGGTGCAACATATACCTTAGAACCTCTTCAGTTGACTTCTTGCTCTTGTACAAGTCTCTGCTACATTTGCATCTAAACCTCCTCAAGCCTGATGTACTCATTCTTGTAGTTATGCAATTCAAACAGAAAAAATAATGTCTATTATTACAGCAATAAAGATTAGTATTAAACAAATATTTATTCAGTGACAACTGTGCACCTTCTGTTTTAGGCACTGGGAATGCATCAATAAACAAACAAAATCCTTGCTCACATGAAGCTCATATTCTAATGAGCGAAATATATAGAATGTCAGATAATTGCTATGGAGAAAAGCTAGCGGGTGGAGGGAAGACAAATGCTGAACAGGGGATGAGGGTGGATACTTTAAATTGCGTGGTAGGAAAGGCCTCATTGTGAAGGTGACTTTTGAACAATGATCTGAAGGAGGTGATTAGCAGAGCATGCCCTCTGGATATCCAGGAGGAGAGAATTTCAGAGTGGGGAATAGCAAGTGTACAGTATGAGTGGGAGCTTGCTTGGCCATTTGAAGTGTGGTCAGACAGGCTGGCGTGCGTAATGAGACGGTGGGTGGATGGCTGGAGACAAGGTCAGAGAGCTGGGTGGGGGCAAAGCACTTGAGGCTTTCACTTGTCCTTACAATAAGGTGGGTAAGCCGCTGGAAAAGACAGAGCTTAGGAGTGACAAAATCTGACTTATAGCTTAATTAAATTGGTGAAACATGAATGTTGAAAGGAATAGAATTCTTGTTTCTAGGGAAACTATGTTGAATACTTTAAAAAGGACTCCATAGAAGTGAGTAAAATTTGCTGTCAAATTAAGCGTGAGGGAAACAGCTATCAAAAATTGGGAAAACCCACAAAAATCTAAAGAGATTCTGCATTCGGTTTAATTTGAAAGTATTTTAAATTCTCTTTCATTTTAAGGAACTTCGAACTGGAAATGGTAGATGATCCATTGTGGGCACAGTTAATTGTCTGCATAAGTCAGTGCTGCTCCCTCAACAAGGCCTGGTTTTGAAGATAGACATTGTACCTGTAGCAAGAAAATGGAATGAGTGGACATTTATGTATTTTGAATTAAAATGGAGACTTTGAGAACATTCATATACTTTTCCAGGATTCTCCAGTTAAACAACCCTGTGTTAAGAGACTTCATAGTCAGGGACTGTTGTGGTGTGAGTCCCTACCCACAGGCACTTTACAGCTAGAAGTGACTTCAGTCATCATGACATCCAAACTCTCCATTTTATAGATGAGGAAACTACCTCAGGGATGTGAGTTTCTTGGGGTTCACTCATTTCTTAGTTGAAGAACGAGAAGTGAAGAGTGGATCTGGTTGAAAGTGGCAAAACATCAATTATATCCAGAAGAATTTCATAAACTATATCAGACCAGTGAGAATGGATCCAGGCACAGGTGGCGAGTTGCTCTCTACTTGTCTTGTGAAGATTCCTCCCACTGATACCTATTCTTTTTCTTTCTAAAAAAGATTTATTTATTTTTGCATACAAGAGCTGGGGTACGGGCCGGAGGTGTGGGGTTGGGGATGAGAGGATTCACCAGAGACAGAGTGGGGAACAGAACAGGCAGACTGACTGAAATACACAGCTGAGGGGAGCAGCGGGTGAGACAGGAGAGGTCTGCTGCGCCATGTGGGTTGCTCCCTGGCTGGCTGGGGATCAAACTCATGCCGCAGAGGTTGTGGATTGCTTCATAGTGTGGTGCTTAACTCCTTGCACCACCAGGGAGGCCCCCACTGATATCTTTCCAATCTCATTCACTTTTTGCCTAGGCAACTGTACTTATAGTGGAATACCTGGGGCCCTTGTATCTGACGGACCTCCTTTTGATACTTCTCTCTCCCCTACACATCAACTCAGACCTTCCTAAATCTCCATAATATCCTATATGAAATGAGGCTAAACAAAGCCTTTCCCGAAGGGTTTTCATGGACTAAAGAAGATAATGTGGGGAAGATACTCAGATGCAGTGCTTGGCTTGTTCTTTTCTGCCATAACAAAACTCTTCTTTCCTTTTTACTAATTAAGAGAAGAAAGAGGAGGGTGATAGTTATTAGGTACCTACTATGTATTTAATACTCTCAACAATCCCAGGACATTGATGTTCTCTTTACAGATGTGGAAGCTGATACTCTGATTTCCCTTCAGATCGTATAAATCTTTTGCCTTTTATAGATATGAAATTGAGGGCTAAAAATTAGAAGTCACTTGTCCAAATATGCATACTAGTCAGTGCTGAAGAAAGGATTCGAACCCAGTTCTGACACTAAAGCCATTTTCCCCCACCTGCTGTTTCTCGCAGCTGAGTAGGTCTATTTGCCGTCTCTGAACACAGCTAGCTTATTTCATCTTCAGTCCTGTGTGCCCATCCCCTCCCTACTGCACCTGCTCTGCAGTTGTCTCTGCCAGTCTCTGTCCCTGACCTGCTGCAAAAGCCAACTGTCCCTGGGTAACCCCTTCCCATTTCACTGAAGCTCCCGGCACTAATGTGCACTAAATTCACCACATGATACAGGAACATTCAGGGGGTCATTCCATCTTAAAAATATAAATATTATACCTACACATCCCCCACAGTGTATAGTATCTCCCAGCTTTTGAAGCTCTATGGACTTGTGGTGACATTCTGGTATGAGTTGGTTCTAAGCCACCGGTAGCCATCTCTTAGTTGTGCTCTGACTTCAGCTGTCTCTTCTTTAACACTCTCTTCCCTGGTTTCCTCTTGCATTTTTCAGGCCAGAAATTAAAAGAAGGAACTGAAAATTTCTACATATTGAGAAACACTGAATATTCTATTTGCAGGTGTGCTTCTTGCTCACCTCTGGGCTCCCCCAACTTTCTCTAAAGTCAGTCCTTATGAACTGAGATTGTGACCATGTTAAATCAGGACTCCATCCGAGGGGAACTACCTACTTAATGTGTTTAACTGTGACAGGGGCTTTGAGAGTGAGAGTGAGAAAGAAAATACATTTTTTACTTCAAGGTTTTCACCTACCTCTGTTCTGTTCCAACCACGTTGAGTAAAAGGTAATTTCACTTTCCTTCAGCATTGCCACAGTCGGTTCTTAGTGGGCATGGATGGTTGGATTCTACAGTTTTCATATCTGTAAAATGGAAATGAACTCTTTACTTCACAGGGTTTTGGTGAAGATTAAAGGAGATAAATTCCATGCTTGTGATTTACAGCATTTAATAAAGGTTAGCTGCTGTTAATGATGTTATAAAAAGGTTATGCTTGGCATTGGGAGTTTCTTATCTAGGGTACTTTCACTCACAAATGCTGACATGAGACACTAGCTTTTTTTTTTTTTAAAGATGTATTTATTTATACAAGAACTGGGGTACAGGCCAGAGGCATGGG